GCTTACCTTGTGCTTAATAAGCGTAAAATCTGGAAAAATGAAAAAATGAAAATTTAATGTAATATAATTTTGTGTGGGCAAGGCCGATTTCTTCACTTTTACACATAAAAGAAGACTTTTTCGTAAAGAAACTGTGGAAAAACGTGTGGTGCCTTCTATCTTTTATAATTTGTGAATAACAAGAAAAAAAAAACAATTTTTTTTTTGGAGAAAAAAACTTGAGTTCAGTTTACGTTCCACTGCGGGCTGATGCTGTGGTCAATATGACCCATTTTCAAAGCCAACCTGCGTGCAAAAACTCGCAACGTGTAAACTATATAGGACACACAGAGATAAACAGGAGGACAGACATGACTTAACCAATTCCGATTTTAATACTGATTAAGAATACTTATACTCTAACCCTCCCCTTTGGGTGTTACAAACATTCAACGGTAGGTATAAAAACTAGTTTCTAATATTTCATATACATCTATTTATTCATGGTAATTATATCATAATTATTTTGTATATTGTATTATTTTTGCGAGTAGAAGCTGCTCTAACAACCAAAAAAACCTGTATTAAAAAAAATTATTTTTGGGAAATATTAAGAAAAATTTCTGCATTTGGGCCATTCTCAGTTTATCTGCTGCAAATTTCAATTACAAAAACCAATTACTGAAATAAGGTGGAATGGGTTATTGAATAAGTGTGGTAGTGCCTTTTGTTTTTTTATTGTTGGCAAGTATTTAAAGGAAATAGTTCAATTTTTAACCAAGCAAATAATGAACAATGTTTAAATAAACCTGTCACAAATATCCTAAGTATTCACAAATATCCTAAGTAATCCCCTTTGGAATGTTATTTCACATCGAAACCAAAACATTTTCGTTCCATAAAAAAAGGCGGTTAAAGGGTTGAAATGCATTATTGAGGTAGTTTTTATTGTCACAAACTTCTTATTACTGTTTACATTAATCTGTACTTTCAGAATCGTGAAACTGCCCTCCCGGGTTTAAATATTCCTTTTCCTCGCCCGAAGATTTTTTGCTTAAGCGATGAGAATTCCACATGACGAAGAAAATGGCGAGAAATGGATATAAAATCAAAATTTTCATTGTAAAATTAAAATTTCATGCTAGAAACGTTCACACGTTTCGGATCAGTGCCAATCTCCATTCCAATCAACGATTGTCGAAATAAATTTACATCATATTTTCGCTTAGAAACATTTTTAAAGCAAAGTAAACGGATTCTCAAGGTTTCTATTAGTTGATTAGAAAAGTTAAAAGTCAATAGAGAACACATTAGGTAGTGACTTCCCAGCAAGGCTACTTGGAGCGTTTAGGGACGCAATTCAAAAGAAAAAAATGAATTGTTTCTAAAATCTTCAAGGTGTTTATTATAAAGTAAAATGTTTTTCTGAAAAATTTAGGTTTGCTTAGCCCTTCAAGGAAATGATGCAAAAAGGCAACGAAGAGATTAGAAAAGTCACTTTAAAGTTAATAGGTAAGGAAATTTCGTAT